ACTCAACGGTGGAAAAAGAGTGCCTGGCTATAAAGTGGGCGTTGGACTCATTCCATTATTACTTGCTTGGGCGGAGGTTTGTCTTGGAGACAGACCATAAGGCCCTCTCCTGGCTGGGGAGGATGAGGGACACCAATGCAAGGATTACTAGATGGTTTTTAGCCATCCAACCTTTTGATTTTTAGATTCTTTATCGAGCAGGGACCCAGAACTGTACAGCTGACTTCCTTTCTAGGATGCCCCAAGAAGCATCCGGAGAGGGAGGGGGATATGTCACGGCGTGACGCCGTGCCGGAGAACATAATCCACATTATGAGCACCCGTAACATAACAGATATGCATGGACTGTTGGGATGTTCATCCACTGTTTCATATAAGTGCCAGCAAAATAATAATTTGTCTGTGGAACGGAGGTAGGAAACCATATGCCATGTTTGTCCTTTTTGTGTGTTTGAAATTTGGTTTGGCATGCGTTTCTTTGTGTGCTACTGGGTGTTGAAGTGTTGGGAAGTCTATGGGTAACTGGTTACTTGCGCATAGGGTAAAGTAAAAGAGGTGATTGTGATTTTGGAAACTTTTTAAACAATGTTTAGTCAGAGAGGGTACTAACCTGGGGAGGGGGGTTGAGTGTTTTCACTGGCAAACAGGAAGAAGTGGAGTTGCGCCCCTATTTCACATGATTTGCTCTGGGCAGCTACCATTGCATAATTTAGCCTTTGGGGGGGAGATAATGGACTGTGGAAATGTATTTAATTGTATAATTCTGTGGGCCTTTTGTTATCAGGGGTGGTGGTAATGTGTGTTGGTATGTGAAGGGTTTTAAGGTAATGCATACATTTATATTTTTGATGCTTGTGTAACCCCCCTTTCAGCCACCAAAGGGGGTACACGCGACTACAAGCTGACCACGTTAACTAGATCCTGGGTTCTAAGTTCACTAGAGGTGGCTGTGACTCCCTGTTTACCCGCTAGGTGTTATGCGACGAGATTTTGTTCCCTTAGACCGAACATTTAAAACACAAATAATAGATTTAGCAGCGCGGTGCCTCCACTGTGGGAATATTGAACTGAGATGAAGCTAATCAGTTCATAACATATTCCCCCAGAATATAAAACAAAACCACCACATCCTCAATAAAGACATTCAACACTACTTAAACATAACCGGGCTATTTATTGAGCCCTATTCAGCAAGGAAGAAAACAACAGCTCCAATATGACCACTAAAGTAAAGAGGAAAAAAAAACAGAGCAGCGTACCCTTAAACGGTAAACCTACATTTACATTTCTCTGCAATGCAATTAAAGTATAACCATAAGAAAAACCTGTTGCACAGTGTGGTGCGTTGGGGCCCAGTTGTTGGTGCACTTTTTATTCCACAACTTTGTTTGGGATCAAAAGAAAAGAAAACTCAATGCCGAGCAGTGGGCGCAGGCGAGTTCCGGCGAGCAGGGCTTCCTTCGGCGTTGTGCAAATCCACACGGCGTCGTGTTGCCGACCTCCCTTACAGCCGTATACCTCCTGGTCTCCGGCACCGGGGCAAAACAGCAAAACACTCCGGGCGACACTTTTTTTCCTTTTCCCGAAGGGCGAAACCGAAACCTGCTCCGTCTCCTCTCAAATCCTGCTCCGTCCCTCTTCACGTCCTACTCCGACGATTCTCCAACGTGTTCTCCCGCTCTCTCTTAGCCGCGCAGTTCCTTAACACGTCTTTCGTATTGGTCCATGTACATCCTATTTGCAACCCATCAACATGGATGAGCAGGATTGGCCACTGTTATGTGTCCAAAACGCGGCAACTCTTGCCCTGGCATTCTGGGAAATGTAGTCCGTACAGAACACTAACAAAAACATGCAATTTCCTGTCTAACATTGTCACAGGTGCTTACACCGTCATGGGCAATGCTGAAATCACTGTTGCAAATAGTACAGCGCGCGCAACATTGTCATTATTTTCATCCATATTAGACAAGGATACACTTTTGTGTAGTCTGAAGTGAAATGCGTTTTATATTTT